TATCAATTTTTTGCCTGTACAAAATTCAAACATTTCCACCTTTATTCTGTTTGCTTGTTTTTGTCATGGCCTTTTTGTTATGGTGTTTGAATTTTGACCCTATTTTTCTTTTTGAATGACGTGGGAACCGCAGTTGTTATCTGATAGTGCACACTGGATAAATAGGTCTGACGGGAAAGTCACACTAGACGAACTACACGGCAGGTGACCTGAGGCGTCGGGGGTTTGAACCCATAACCTCACGGTCACAAGTTCAACCCTTACACCACCAGGTTATCCCTTACGGGACAATTTTGTTTTCATAAGTGTTTTATGTGGATATATTAAAGGGAAGAGTATAAAAATTACACCCTATTTTCAATTTTGAAACAGGATGTTCCATGCTACAGTGGATCTGGATATATTTCACACATATATGTAATTACATATATAGTGCACACATCGTGTATAAATTAATTAATTACATACATTTTAAAAAACAGGAGTGGGAACGTGCAAGAGATTCCCATTATTTATTTATTATTATTTTATTTTATTTTATTTTTTTCATTTGTTGGTTTACATACAATACTTCACTGCTGAATGAATTTGGATTTTACTATAGAGAGTAATTAAACCATATGAAGTCAACTCTTTCTTTCAACAACCTCGATCATATATCGCTCGTGCCAGCTACTCAAATCTTGTTATGGAAATTTCAAAAAATCAAAATGAAATAACAAAGACAAAAGAATTTGGTAATCCAGTTCGATCAGAATGATCTACGTCTCGTGGCAGCTGCCAGCCTAAGCCTACGACCATGATATTCAAATCATATCTCTAAGATATAATATCCAAATCACACTTCATATCTAAACAAATCTCAATTTAAATTTTAATTTCTCAAAAGGTTGAACTTTTGAATAATTAAAAAATATTAATTTTATATCCATCGTCCATCTTTATCCATTTCTTTGACAACTTCCATTTAGTCATTCTTATTTTACACTGTCTTTTTCTCATCATTTATTTATAACTCAAAACACATCAATCTCTGACAAATTCCTAACAAATCTACCAACCATGTTGATGTTACGTTGTTCTTCAACCAATTTTATGTTCTTTTGCATTTCGGATTCGACATCACTTGTTGGGTTGCATATGATTCACAACAGCCCAAAGTCGTATGATCCAAATCTACAGCTCAAAGCTTGATGATCCAATGTGCTTCCCTCTATCTTCTAATTTTTCAGCCCAATAGCCGAGCAGCCATTTGGTAAACCAATGACGTGTCAGCTGCCGGGGAATCTTCCGGTAGGACGGTGGAAGAACGCCTGCCGGAAAATACAGACCATGTTTGGGGGTTTGAATTTTGGGTTGAGAATAAATAGTAAAAGTTTTGAATTTGAATAGTTCTATCGTATTATATAAATAGATGTTGATACGATAAAAAAATATTTGATTTGATATTTTTTAAAAAAAAAAAATTAATGAATAATACAAATTTGTGAAAATCATTCAAACAAACACACCACCCTCATCCTTCCATATTTGTCCATCAAAACATTATTTTACCTATTTTTTAATTTTATATATTATATTAAAAATTAATTTGATATTCAAATCATAATACTAGTGTGTATATATTTTGCATCAAACAAATTGTTATCACTCGAAATTTCTCTTTCGGGTGACCTATTGGATTTGTCCAATTGCAAAACATAGCAAATTAAATGTTGTAATTTAAAATTACCCTTGAAGATATTATTGAACTCCACTTTTAATTCCTTATCCACTTAGCCTGTGGGAGTTTATTCATTTTTTCACTATGATCTTGCACATCATTCATCCACAATATTTCTTCAATTTTCAGGTCTATATTGACTTCTTCAAATCTATCCATCTAGTTGGATGATTGCTAAAATGTTAAATGGATCAAGGCGTTTGTGAATTTAGCTCCGCAAACGTAAATGAGTCGAACTGAACAATATAAATAAACTTGTTTTGTTAATGAACGAATTCGAGCCTTATTTGTGAACCTTCGTTAAAAATAAAAATATAAAATTATTAGTTAAAAAATAAATAAAATATTATGTATGTGAATTAAAAAATAAAACAAAAGATCATATTTATCGAAACGAGCTTATTCCAATAGAATAAAAATACGAATTCGAACATTAAAATTACTTAACGAATCGAACTCGAATGTTTATTGATCGAATACGAACTTTGTGCACAAATATTAATGAACGAACACTAATATAACCAATCTTTCCTTACTTTTTCGATAGCTAAGGTACGACCGTTAGCTATTTCTCTAATTGGGAAAAAATCCTAGGTACAACCGTAGTTTTTTAACTCGACAGCAGTAAAAACTAGAAAAGCTCAATTCAATTTAACAAGCTTCTACAAGGATTTGTTTAAAATTGATTTTAATTCTTCGTCAAGTCAAGATTTCTAAACTCATCAATTAGAAGAATTAAAAATACCCAACATCGATGAACACCAATTTTAATCGAAACCAAGTCTCACAATTTCAATCCCGAACATCAATTCATACCTACACTAGAAATAAAACTACTCGCAATCCATAGCAATTAAAAACATAATATAAATCAAATAGTTCATCATGCTTTCAAGTTTAAAAATCGACAACAAACTAATTCTAAAAATGAAGAAAAAGGTGCCCGAAAGTTCTTTTGCATTGCTTTCCAAAGTTCCCCTCCGTAGTGTTCTTCCTTCGCTTCTCTTCTCTTTCAGAAATGAGTTGTATGTGAGATCGTGGTAGAAAAAGTGGTAGTCCATTCTGTTCAAGTCCATCCCATTTTGCAATTTTTCATTTTTTTTCTGCTTGGTGATCACGCCTAAGGACTTCCTGTGTTCTGTTCAAAAACACATCGTTAGGAGTATATATACAAAATTTGCATAAAAAAATCGTCTAAAATATAGCAAAATATTTATCTAATATCGCATATATCAATATGTGTATATATATATTGTTTTTAGTATTTTTAATTTTATTACACCTCTTTTTGTACTCGATTAAATTTGATACATAGATATATATATTATAAAATTGGACAAACATATATTATATTCAATATAATATATTTATAATACAATATTTATTATACATAATATGTACTATCTATTTATTGTATATACCAAATCAACAAAAATCCGCGTCCAATATTATTATCACCTTTGGAATGGCTTCTTTCTAACACCTCAAATATCTTCTAAAATGGTCCCGTGATAGTGCGACTGCGACAGTGCGACTTGTAATAGAATTTGAAAGATATTATTTTTATGATGTAGTTTTGATGCATATATGTGATTCAAGAAATGAATAAGACACTGCATAAACATCAGTATTGGGATTTGGGACCGACAAAACAACAAATATGTGTTTTTGGAGTTTATATATATATATATATATATATATTTTTGTTATAATTTTCTATTTAAATTAAAGTTTCAATGTAATGTTATGAATAATTTATTAAGCTTATATTAATTCACACTTATTAGATACATATTTCTAGATGTTGTTCAACAGATCCGGACAACCATTTTGGGAATCAATGTGCGCTCATTAGATCGAATACGAATTTTAATAAAAGTAGATAAAAATAATTAATTTAAAGTAAAAACTAAAAAGAAATAAAAATATATTTAAATAACAATTTAAAAAATTAAAATAAATTTGGAACAATAGTCATTGTCCCTAATTTTCTCATCTATTTTTTGAAAAAAAGGCAACCAATCAATTTGAAAATTTGCATGGACAAGCATTGATAATAAACAATTTCAAGCTGGATCTGCTCTTTCAGTTTGCTAATATGAGAAAAATCTGTGTTAGTTTGGCAAGGCTATTATTTATTTTTTATATAAATAATATTGTTGGTTTTTTTAAAATATGAATTAATATATATGATTAAAATAAATTTACAATATATATGATTATATTTTAATATATAATATATATGCAATATGTATATCATATCATATCATAGATAATAAAATTTTATATAATATAAATAATATATATATTTATAATTACCTTAAACTATAAAAAATGAAAATGTTTTGGATGTGTTTATTTTGTAAAATTGTTTGAAAATTTTTTTTTAATGTGAAACATGAAAAAGTGTATAAGTAACATAAAAATAATAAATATATTTGATATATTAATTTCTTTTAAAAAATAGCATGTACTTTATTTTACAAAAAGAACAAGGGTGTGTTCTTACCCATTTCCCCAAAAATACATTTTTCTTTAATATATATTTAACCTCGAATGACCTGCACGGCTCATACATGAGAGTTGGCCTGGTATTGGTTCAACTTCGGGATATTACATCATTCCCACTTAAGAATAGAACATTCGCGTTGCACCCCAAGAATCATCAACTGCTAAGGTTCGTCACCAATCCAATCAACGATTGCAAGTTGTCGCAGGTCGGCTTGAATACCAATTGTGACAACCCGGCCCGCAAGCCATGCAAAGTCGGGTGTGTCGGGATCGGAGACTGGCCGAGTCCTTTCAGCGCGCCTCTGTCCTCATCTACGCGCATCCTGAGAGACTTGTGTGTCACCTATCCTCAACTTACTTTAGAGGAAGCACGTTTAAAATAGGGTTTTTGAAAAATAACGTGCACGTTGTTGACATGAGTAGTCTATTGAATCCATTTAATTATATTCAATCTTGGATGACTTGATATCGGCTCATCCACGGGAATTGGCCTAGCACCGGCCCAATTCCGATGGTATTACAACTTGATATTAAAATAATATTTGATTGAATATTTTATGGAAAAAAATACATACTCAAAGTCCAAATAACAAGAAACGGAGAGTTTGGGTCAAAATGTTTTTGTCAATATTTTTAAAAATATAAATATTTCATATATATTTTTAAAGAAAAAAAAAATTGATAAAAAATATCTAATTTGAAAACGTGGTCATTAAAATCCTCAACGACCAATATCACCTAGCCTTTTTGTGGTCTTTTTCATGATTTAAATTCCCAGCCGTATAGAGAAGGATCGATAATGGCGCTTGCAGTTGGACTTGCACTTGCACATGCTGCTGTTATCTTCTCATTGGTGGCATCTTCTTCATCAGATAATTCCTTGTTTGGATGCTTCGATTCCATTGTTAGCTTCGGCGGTTCGCTATCCGACACCGGCAATGATCTCGCCCCAGAGCTACTGCTGGGACACTGTTTCTCTACTAACCTGCCCTATGGCCGGACGTACTTCCACCGCCCTACCGGAAGATTCTCCGACGGTCGCCTCGTCATTGATTTCATCGGTACCGTACGCACTATATACATATAATTGAATTAAATAATGATATTTGAATGTGTATAATACTATATTAATATCCTCATCAATTTTACAGCACAGAGCCTGGGCCTGCCTCTGCTCAAACCTTACTTTCCCGAATCTGACAAGGACTCGGCGCAACGTCGCCGGAGCTTCAGCACCGGAGTGAATTTCGCGGTGTCGGGAGCGTCGGTGCTTCCTTATGAGTTCTACAAGAAGATGGGATGTCTGGATATGTCCACCAATGTCTCTCTGGGAACTCAAATGGAATGGTTCCGAACCTTTTTGGCCGGACTTCCAGGTCGGAATGTGCTTGCTTCATTGATCTTTGGACAAGACCACTTGTCTTGTCGATCTTCCCCTAAACTCTCTTCTATTATATTTTAATTTTGAAAAAATTGCCATAGTTTTCAGAAAAAAATAAATAAATAAATGAAAAATAAAAATTCAATTTTATTAGTATAAATTATTAATCACTATATTATGTTTAAATGAAAAAATAATAAAAATACGATTTTGATACTTACGGTCTCAGAAAGTGCGCCTGAATTTTATTTCCGGGTCAAACAAACTCTTTTAAACAAAGAAAGACATAACAAAATTTTCATCCAAATATATCATACACGACAAGTTACGTAAATTATTTATTTATATTTTCTTGTGATGTGTTTGAAAAAAAATTGATATTAAAATAATATACAATGAAATATTCTGTGAGACACAAAAATGTATTTTTTTCTACAAACTTCTAATTTAATAATTGTTCTATATTTTTATCTTCTTAATTTAATAAATATCTTTACAACTTATAATTTATTAAACAAATATCATTAAAATTTATTAAATAATTTTAAAACTTATAATTAATTAATAATAACAACTTATGATATCAAAGATATATTTAATCTTTTAAAGATGTATGATATATTTTGATGGGTAAAATAATATAGGAAAAAATTAATAATTTGTTATATGCAACATATTTTTTGAAAGTTTCCCCTTTAGATTTATTTTTAAAAAGTTATAGCATCACCATTCTCTCTAGCCAATGTCCAATTTTCAATGCATTCCAAAACCAATATAGAATGAAGGGCATGGATTTATCCCCATAAATCAGCATATGTTGTATTACGTATAAATATATGTTGATCACTCATATGATATATATATTGTACTATGTGTAAACATAAGCTAATCATTTATACCATATATGTTCATCCGGTCAAATCAGCACCATGCTAATTTGGCCGTATTAGTACATATTGGGACTAAGAATGAATGTTAAAATATGATATGGACTAAGAACTGAAGTATATGTTAATGTTATACAGATGGTTCAAAGTATCTCGAAAGATCTTTAGTTATATTGGGACCAATAGGAAGCAACGACTACAGTCATCTCCTCCTGTCAGGGAAGAGTACTCTTGACCAGATGGAATTGTTGGCTCTTGAAATTGTTAGCCACATCGAATCAACCATTCAGGTATATATGTTTTTTTTTTTAAAAAAAAAAAATCTAAATTAATTAATTGTAGATTCACCAAACTCTGTCTTTTCATAAAATCCTTAGATTAGATAGAATTTTATACATGCAGCTATCACATTGCAGGAGCTGATCAAGCTTGGAGCTGTGACAATCCTTGTTCCTGGAAATTTACCAGATGGTTGCAAGCCTGCTACTCTATTCTATTATGAGAAATCTTGTACACCCGATGACTATGATTCACAAAATGGTTGTCTATATTGGTACAACGAGCACTTCCGGCGCCATAACAAGCTTCTTCAAAAGGAGCTGCAGAGAATAAGGGAGCTTCATCCTCATGTCAACATAGTGTATGTAGACTATTACAACAATGCAATGCAAATGTATCTCGCCCCCAACCAATTCGGTAATAAACACTTCAAACTCTAAACCTCGAATTCCTATGCTCTACACAAATTATCAAGAAAGCCATTGAATGCCTATTTATGCATCTACTATCCATGTATGATACAGGATTTGGAAACCAAACTCTTAGGTCTTGTTGCGGAGCCGGAGGGACGTATAACTACAACCCGGACAAGCAATGCGGCAGTAGTCCTCAAGTAACATGTTGTCGTGATCCAGCCGAGTATATCAGTTGGGATGGGGTACACTATACAGAGGCAGCCAACAGATTGTTGGCCCAAGGATTGCTCCAAGGACCATATGCGGATCCTCCTTTCTCGACCATCTGCCTTAATTCTGCATTGAATCCTCGCGCCTTTTCCGGCTACTAACTAGTCTCTGCATTAGTCTAAGATGCTGAGAATTTGTTGCATATACGTATTGATGCTGTGATGCACTGCCAGAAAATTGAAAAATTATTGTAGAAAAAGTATTTCAAAAGTCATCGGTTGAGAAAGAAAGATGTGTATAAGGTCCTTGGAGCAATAGTTGAGCTACCAACATGTTGTTGTCTGTCTCAATTCTCATCAGTGAAGGGTGTCCCATCACAATATGTTGCTTGAGGAGTGCCACGTCACGCAGATTTGTTGTAGTTGCACATTCCCCTCTACTCCAATTGTTTGCCTCAAATACTTGATGTTTACTTTATATAATCTTGGTTACTTTTTTAATAATAAACTAGAAAAAAAATCATTCCGATCAAAGTGTTTGCATCTTCTGATCTCCCCCACGGTTTTTACTTATTTCCTCCATTACTTCAATGGCTCTACTCTAATTGATAGGAGAAAATATGTATGGTAATGGTACCACATTTGAATCTCTCAAGCCAACAACATGCAACAAGATTCCAGCAACAAGACAATAACCTTGTAATAGAATTCGATGTAGCAGTTTCCAAGTTGAGCCTTAAAAGTCGGAAATAATGCCGCGGGTCTTGGATATCGAACTAATGCATATGTCTGAGAAAGAAGGATTAGTATAGGTTCCTTGGAGCAATGCTTGTGCTATCAATCTATAGGCTGCCTCTGTGAGGTGTATCCCATCCCAACTAATATATTTACTTGGATCATCGCAACATGTCGCTTGTGGAGCACCGCATTGCGCAGATGCATTGAAATTATACAGCCCTCCAGCTCCGCAACAAGAGCTAAGAATTCGATTGCCAAATCCTGCGTTATAGATCCACAAACATATATACATTAGCCTTTTATTTCTTGATCATATTTCCATAGAATCGAGCGTATGTTAATTACCGAATTGTTTGGGGGATTGATACATTCGCATTGCGGCGTTATAATAGTCTGCATACATTATGTTGACATGTGGATAGAGTTCTCTTATTCTCTGCAATTCCTTTCGGAGAAGCTGATTATGGTATTGTGAGAATTCGTTCAACCAAGTGAGACAACCATGGCGATCGTAGTCTTCGGCTGTGCTTGATTTCTGATATTGTGTCAAACAAACAGGCAAGCAACCACTCGGGAAATTCCCCGGGACGAGCATTGTCACAACTCCAAGCTTGATCAATTCCTTCATGAGAAATTATTACCAATAGAAGAAGCCAATCGTTTTTATAAAAAATTTAAAGACAAATTTACATACTTGAATTGTGGATCCGATGTAGCTAACAACCACAGGAACCAGCATTTGTTGCTCATCAAGAGTCCTCCCTTGAAGGATGAGATGGTTGTAATCATTGCCTCCTATCTCTCCCATTATAACCAAAGATCTTTCCAAATACTTTCGACTATCTGTATGTCATATCTTTAGCTGTTAGAATAACAACTAAATTTTAAGAATTTTCCCAGATATCCTTAAAATTGTCGAAAATTTGACCTGGAAGTCCGGCCAAAAAGCTTCGGAACCACTCCAATTGAGTTCCCAGAGAGACGTTGGTTAACGAATCTTGGCATCCAATCTTCTTGTAGAACTCATACGAAAGTGCCGAAGCTCCAGAAACTGCGAAATTCACTCCGGTGCTGAAGCTCCGGCGACGTTGCGCCGCGTCGTCGTTAGCTTCGGGAACGTAAGGTTTTAGCAGAGGCAGCCCCATGCTCTGTGCTGTAAAATTGAAAACAGGGATTATTGCCATCTCTGCACACTCATATTTGATTTCACTGCGTACCGATAAAATCAATGATGAGGCGGCCGTCGGAGAATCTTCCGGTAGGGCGGTGAAAGAACGTCCGACCATAGGGTGGGTTAGCAGCGGCGCAGGGGCTGCGTTGTAGGCTGGGGACGAGAATATTTCCAGTATCAGCTAACGAATCGCCGAAGCTAACAATGGAATTGTAGCATCCAAAGATCGAATCTGATGCTGATGCTGATGGCGACGGTGTAAAGACTAAAATGAAGAAGACAACAGAAGCAGATGCAAGCGCCATTATTGGAGCTGAGGGGAAGCTGATCAAATTCGTACCAAGTTTGAAAGCAAAAATTATCTATCGATGCATCAGTTTACGACTTGGATTTAACAACTATTTAAAGTATGATTATCTTAATAGGTTTGTTTGGACGTCGGATTCATTGGGTTTTTATCAATATTTTTTATATTATATTTAATTTAATTTTATATAAATATTTATTTATATTATATTATATGAAATAAAAAGTAAACGGTTGATGTAATTTATATAAATTTAATTTAACAACTGTTAGGTGTATTTTTTCCACCATAAAAAGTAAAATCTGAAAATAGAAAATTATCTCCGAATTTGATATAATTAGTGCATGAGATTAAAAATCTTACGAGCTCGTGGGTGTACAAAAGTAGAGTAGTAAGCTATATTGTATAATACATGTTAACGTTACTTACAAAATATCATATATATTCTTATTTGTTGAATATAAAACTTAATGACATAATTTTTTATTTTTTTATTTTTGTTAAATCATTGAGTTATGGTGACTAATGACATTAATAATAAATGATGCTAGTACAAAATTACAAGGAAGAACGTGGCAGGGTGTTACTAATACAAATCAATTAATGTACCATCTTGTATAAATTAATTTAATCGCACAAAATTGAAATAAACAAGTGGGGACGTGCAAGAGATTGCATCATTTTCGGAAGGCTGACAATTTGGTTGATATACATGAATTTAAAATAGTTGAGGGATAAAAATAAAGTTGATATAATGACAATTTAAGTATGAAAATTAAATCATTAATTAATTATATTTAGAAATAAAAATCTATCTAAAATATAGAAATTTTACTTGATTAAATTTTGTCAAAAAATTCTGTTATATTGGATAAATTATATAATAGTCTTTGTATTTTGGTAAAAATGCACAAGAGTGTTTTATTTTTTATTTATTTATTTATTTATTTTTTAATGTGTTAAACTAAGTATTCATAACATATAATCTTCATCAAAGCTGATGTTTGTCCATAAAAAAGGTCAAATGTGACCGTAAGATTATGGATTCAAACATCGACGCCTCCAGATATTGTCTGCTACACATGGTTTGTCTAACGTGACTTGATTATCGGGTCTAATTTGTATAAATCCTAAATAACATTTCAAACAATTTCGAAAAATCAACCAAACATTACATAATATTTGATGCTTAATGTCTTTAAATATTTTGATACTTTTGGACTGTTTTAAAATATTCAAATAGTAAAAATTACCACTCAATACTATTTAATATTAATCAAACTAGATATATGTTTTTTTTTCATAATATTTATTTAATTTATGTACCACTAAATTAGTAAGGCACATATATATTTGAATTAAATATTTTTCGGATATTATAATAAAATTTAGGTAATAAACAAATGAATATCTATTACATATTTTATTTATATACAAATAAAATATATTTAAAAAATAAAGAAATACATTTACTTCAAAAAATTATTACATTGATACGTTGAATGGATGAGTTTGAGATTATAATAATTGATCATTAATTTATGATATAAAATTGTTTAGTATTTTTAATTTGCGATCATTTTTATGTGAATTATGAAAAATTGTATTGATAATATAAAACAATATTTTGTATTGAACATTAATTTCTTATGGAAAAATAAAATTATGAACAATAATTAGTAATTGTTAATTTATGTAATTATAATTAACAAATCAATTATCTATCAAAAATTGAAGTAGTAATTATCAAATGAACGTAAATATACACAACATTATACTATATTCTTGTGTATCTTGCATCAACCGTTAATTATACTCCATCCGTTCCCACATACCGTGTCTGCTACACTGTAGATACGGTATTTTAAGAGGGATGTAATTAATAGATAATTAAGAATGTATTAGTGAAAATAATTATTCGATAATATAAATAATTATAAATTAAGATTAAGATAACTAATTAGTTTAATTAAAATTAAAAAAATTAAATTAAAAAGTTTAAAATGAGATTAAAGTGTGTAATAATTTTCTTAAAAAAAAATGGCATGGTATGAAGGACGGACAGAAACGGCAACATGGACATGGTATGTAGGACGGAGGGAGTATTATTTAGTTAACTTTCAAAATTCCCAAATATGTCAAACATCGTAGGCGTTTGGAAAAGAGAATTGAATTGACGAGAAATAAAAATAGAGAACGAAATTAAAAAAATAAACAAAAAAGAAAAAAAATTAATAAAAAATGAGAATAATTTTATGTTTGGTAAAAAATAGATAATTCAATTTAAAAATGTAAAAAAATACAATTATAATCCACCTAGAATAAATAATTAATGGCGCAACAGAAAGTTTTAACGCATCTATGAAAAATATTTATGGTGAAATTTTTAGTTTAAACAATGTATTAGATACTAATAAAATTAAATTTTAGTATAATTTTTTTAAAAAATGTAAAATTAAATACTTAAATAATAAATTAAATATAATATATTTAAAATTAGAATAATATATTATTAAAAATTTATTAAATAAATAGTATAAAAAATAAAATAAATGAATAAATATACTAATTAATATTAAATCATGAGAAATGTTTTCATTTCTCAACTCCTTAATCTCAACCAAACAAAAGAAAAAAAGAAAAAGATAATTTCTATTTTTTTGACATACCCTTAAAGCTAAAATATGTATGGTGCATATACTAATCGATCACTATAATTGTGACTTGCCCATAAATTTTATGCTCAGCCCATTGATTTTGGACCAGGCCCATAACTTGGCCCAGTAATTTCTCTACGTCACCTCACATTTAATCTAAATAAAGCCAGTTTTACGGTAACTTTATATAAATAAATAATTAAATTTAAATAAAAAATTTCAATTAAATTATACATATATGTCAACGGAAACCGATATGTTATAAATAATTCGGATTATGATTGATATTTTGAATTTAAACCCAACACAATAACTAGATTATAATACATTTGTATTAATCAATTAATTTATTATATATAAAATAAATTTCCTCTAATAAACAACTCAACTTAATTCATTATACACATTTGCAAAAAATTAATACTCATTCCCTTTCCATTCAAAGTCACTTTCTAATTTTAGTAAAAATAAATCTACACTAATAATAAAATATTATTTAATTTTTATCTAATTTATAAATATACATTATATATACAACAATTACTTTATTAATAAATCAAATGACAAAAAAATATCAAAACATCTTACTCACTTACGCTCACCTATAAAATGTTATTATTTTTTAATCAATTATAAATCCTCAAATAGTCGATTTAGACTGAGATGGATGAAGTATAAACAAGAATCCCACATAAAAATAAACTAATTGTGTGTTTACTTGTAAGATTTTGGTTTTTTGTTTTGATTTCGAATAGTAAAATTTTGAATTGAAATAGTTGTTTGATGTGATATAAATATATATTTATGTGATATTTTGAATGTAAAATTTAATTTTAGTGTAATATAATAAATAAAAATAGGTGTTTGATTTGATGTTTTTGGAGAGAAGAAAAAAAAGTTGGAATAGTAAAATGGAAAAACAAAATCTCGCAAGTAAACACATAAGTCCGGTTAAAATTGAATTATTTTAATTCATTTAAAAGATTCAATCCGACGAATCTGACTCATTTTTTATATCTCGAGTCTTTTATATATATATATTTTTTATAATATGGGAATCCGCAATCGTTATTTGAAAGTATACATTGGCTAAATTTTTGGCCAAATTTAATACTTTGCAAATCAAATTTAATTAAAAAATAATACTAGACAAATTATATGTGGCAAATGACTTGGGAAGCGACAGATACTCTAACCTAACCAGCGGAACGTTATTGCAATGATTTCTTTATTATTCCCTATATTTGTTTGTTTATTCATATTTCCAACACGTGTAAATGTGCTTTTGTTGAATCAAGTTTGGTGGCATTTGCAGCATTTTTTAAATGCGATGCTGTTTGCCACTATACTAAAAGCGCAACGCAGGTGGGTTTACCGTGAGTTTTGTTTTTCCGTTTTACTATTTTAATTTTTTTTTTAAATATCAAATTAAATACTTATTTTTTATTTATTATATTATATTAAAATTAAAATTTATATTTAAAATATCATATAAATACATATTTATATCATATCAAACAATTATTTCAATTCAAAATTTTACTATTAAAACCAAAACCAAAAATCAAAATTTGACAAGTAAACGCATCATTCACCGCTTCAATTTCTTTCTACTGCCGTGCCACTATCAAACTATTCTCATTCTCATTTTTATCCATATCCGTATCTATCTATATCCACATTCTTGAAAATGATTAAACTATCCATATATATCAGTAGTTCATTTCGGCCACAACAATCGTCCTTAAACTCCAACAATGACTATTCATCTCTCCAAATCTGGCTGCCGTGTCGTAATAAATCATCACTCTTTAATTAGCTAACAACAATTAGTACAACAACAAATGACTTTATGGGATCACTACAATGATTTCCTCCTGTGATGGAACTTAACACATACATTTTGTATGCACAAGTTTGCAGCCAAAGAGAAGATGATCACCATAAATAACGTGTAATGACCGCGAGGCTGCAGGGATAATTCGGATTCGTCGGGGCAGATCGTTGCGATTCGAGGATTAGTATACGGCCCTTCGAGAATGCCTTGGGCTATCACTCTGTTCCCTGCCTCCGTATAATGGACGCCATCCCAACTAGCATACGAGCCCGGATTGTCGCAGCTTTCCACTCCTTCGTCGCCACATCCAGCCGACGTATTGTAATTATACGGCCCACCTCCCCCGCAACAGCCTCTAAGAACTCTGCTGCCAAATCCTACAGAACAAATTCAATTAAATACGTACATGTTATGATTTCCTTCTATTAGGAGGATCTATAATGATGGATAATTAGTAGCTGATTGAATGTGTACCGAATTTGTCGGGGGAGAGATACATGCGCATTGCGGCGTTGTAATAGTCCGCGTAGATTATGTTGATTTGAGGATGAAGGTCCCTGATTTTCTCCAATTCCTCGAGGAGAAGGCTGTTGTGGTACTTGGAGAAGTCGTTCAACCAATCGAGACAACCGGTTCTCGGATCATACTTGTCGGTGCCGGAGTTGTGTAATGTTAAGTATATAGGCCAACAACCAATTGGAGGATGCCCGGGGACAAGCATTGTAGCAACTCCATGCTTGATCAGTTCCTGAATTGAAGTATGTTATGAACAATTTGACAAAAATGAATTATACTTACGCAATATTGTTTTTAATGATGAGAATGGGTCGAACTTGAATTGTGGAGCCGATGGAGCTAACAACTTGAGGAACTAATGTTTGAAGCTGATCCAAAGTTGTCCCTTGTTGGAGGAGATAATTGTAATCATTTACTCCAATCTCTCCCACCACAACAAGAGATCTTTCCACATATTTTCTGCCATCTGTAAATGATTTAGAGAACGTTTTATATACTAAAAAAAAAAAAAAAAAAAAGGCCAAAACCTGAATATGATATTATTGCACTTATTATTTTCCTATCGTCTCCTCGAAACCAACACAACTCTAAAACTTTTGGAAGTTTCCATGGCGGATTAATTACCTGGAAGTCGAGTCAAAAAGCTTCGGAACCAGTCCAACTGAATTGTGAGGGAGTTGTTGGTGACGGGATTGTGATATCCAATCTTGTCGTAAAACTCAGAATCAAGCACGGTGGCTCCGGCCACCGCGAAGTTCACTCCTGTGGCGAGACTCCGGCGGCGCTCCTCCTCGTTTCCTCCGTCGGAAAAGTACGGCTTTAATAGAGGCAGACCTAAGCTCTGTGCTATAATATATATATATATATATATCGTGGCCTCCCAAAATGTAAGGTGTATATTCAATCCAATTCAATTTAATTTAATTGGGTGTTTGATAGAGACACGTACCGATGAAATCAATGACGAGACGGCCGTCGCAATATCTTCCGGTGGGCCGGTTGAAGAAGGTACGGCCGAAGGGGGGTTTGCCGGTGGGGGGCATGGCCTTGTGCACGGCGACGGAAAGAATGTTGCCTGTGTCGGTCAAGGAATCCCCGAAGCTAACGATAGATTCGTAGCATCCAAACGTCGTCGTTCCTGCTGCTGCTGCTGCTGAGACTGAGATTGAGAGTACAGTAATTAGGAAGACGACGACGGCGGCATCAGTAGTTGTACCTGCAACAGCCATTTAATTACTACTAATTAATTTCTCCGGTGCGATGCGATGCGATGCTGGGAATTCAATATAATCTTCTCCGGCGGTGGATCAAGATAGCGATCGAGTTTGCAGAGACTGAGTTGTGAGTTGCGTGAGGAGATTTTGAACCGCAGAAATATGTTGACGTTGGGCATTTATAATGAGTCTATATCTATATATATAGACACATTATATGCATGCGTTTTGAATGCTAGCGTTGGATTTTGACGTACGCGGGTTCCTGACCAGGAAACTTTTACAGGTCGGTTGAGTGAAATAACCATTATTTAATACACGAGATTTGAAGTCATAAGCTCGTGGTCATCAGTTCATTGTCTACATTAGGGGTGTGTTTGTTTGGGGATTTGGATTATGGATTGGGATTTGAATAGTAAAAATTTTGAATTTAAATAGTTGTATAATGTGATATAAATAGGTGTTGATGTGATGTTTTAAATGTAAAATTGATTTTTTTTAGTATAATATAAAAATAAAAAATAGATGTTTAATTTGATATTTTTTAGAAGAAAATTTTGAATAAATAGTAAAATTTTGATAAAATCCTACAACCGAACACACCTAGGAGGCCGGAATACTTTTGAGTTTTTCTTTTACTAGATGTTGGGTGCAAACCAAATATTTGAAAAAAATATTATTTTTTCAGAATCCAAAAATAAATCTGTGTAGACTTAATTCAAACCTGATATTATCATATTAGTTTTAAATTGACCAATTTTAATAATGTAGTCAAATTAATAAAATATGATATAATAGCTAAAGAAAATAGTGAGAAGTTGGTTATTATTTTTTAAAATAAATTTAATAAAATAATGGAGAATAAAAAGAATTTAACGTAATTACAGCAGAGGGAACAACCACCCTAATTTTATGTTAGAAAATTATTTGACCTTATTTTTTTTATTAAATAAACTTTTCATTTTGATACTCATGGCGATTGGACTAATAATGAACTCATAGTTCACGGTTATAAGTTCACACTTGGCACAATATAATTTCAAGTAACATATCTATATGTTTAATAGTATATCAAATTATTTGTGATTTATAATTTTTTTTGTAACATATCTATATGTTTGATTTATATCAAATTATTTATGGTTTATAATTTTTTGTACTGACAGTAGCAGTCATGTACCGAATTTATACCATACGTGTATTCACATGCAACATATATCCGTTATGCTCCATGTACCGAATTTATACCACACATAAATTCACATGCAACATCTATCCTTTATGCTCCATGTACCGAATTTATACCACACATATATTCAGGGAAAATTGCAAAAAATATCACACACGTATACTTCATTATCACTTTTGTCTTGTATTTATCTTGCTGGTAAAATATATCTCACATGTTTGCAAAAGTCGCAATTTCTATCCTTTGACCGCGCGTGGCCGCGCGTGATTGTGCGTAAGGGCGCATGGTGTGAATTTTACGCGCGGAAAAAAGATATAAATAGCGACTTTTTTAAACATATGGGATATATTGTATCAAATAGATAAATATAAGACAAAAGTGATAATATGGTATAAGCATGAGATATTTTTTTGCAATTTACTCCATATATTCACATGCACATATATCCTTTATGCATATCTATTAAGAGTTATTTAAATATCTAACCTGTATATTCATGTGAAATGACAAAAATGCACTCCTTCCAACCTACAAAAATCCATGTCTGCCTGTTCGGCGGTTTGGATTTTGAGTTGGGATTTAAATATTAAAAATTTTGAATTTGAATAGTTGTATGATGTGATATAAATAAGTGTTGATGTGATGTTTTGAATGTAAAATTGATTTTTAATATAATATAAAAAATAAAAAATAGGAGTTTGATTTAATATTTTTTGGGGGAAAAAATTGGATGAATAGTGTAAATCCAATCCAATCCAATCCTCCAAACAAACACCCGAAAAGGCATCAGATTGGGTAGTTCTTGTTCGAGTAACTCAAAATATCAGATGGTATAACACACTATTTGAATCTGATAATAACTCTTGAGTATTTCATGCCAAATATCAACTAGTATAAAACACTATCTGAATCCAATCCAAATTTTTTGGGAAAATTTTCAACCACCTAGAATATTTTGACTTGTATACCTAAGATCGCCATGCTCTTAAATAATAAAAAATAAATGAATTTGAATTTTCCATTTATTGTTTTTCGGAAGCAATAATAGTTTTAATTAAATTATTATATAATATATTTTTGCTATATAGTATAAAGAAGAAGAAATTTTTAAACTAGAATTATTATGTGAGGGTGTAAGTGTGCCAAAATTGACTGAGTAGCTCAACCTCATTAATGTCGTCATTTAGTAGTTAGGTGGGCACAGGGCCGTCTGCTTCATCTTCTCTCACCGATTTTTGGCTATTTATTTCCTCCATCATGACTTCAATGGTTCCACTCTAATTGGTAATTAATTGCTGGGAGGAAATATGGTACCAAATTTAAATTTCTCAAGCCAACAACATGCAGAAAGATTCCAACAAGAAGATAGAAACTTTGCATCAGCTATATGTGTATATATGTATATAGATACATCCATGCACAGACGAGTCGAGTCTTAATAATCAGAAATGCCGCGGGTCTTGGATATGGAACCAAGGCATATGTTTGAGAAAGGAGGATTAGTATAGGTTCCTTGGATCACTGCTTGTGCTATCAATCTATAGGCTGCCTCTGTGAGGTGCATCCCATCCCAACTAATATATTTACTCGGATCATCGCAACATGTCGCTTGTGGTACGCCGCATCGCGCAGATTCGTTGAAATTGTACACCCCTCCACCTCCACAACAAGAGCTGAGAATTCGATTGCCAAATCCTGCATTATAGATCCACAAACATATATACATTAGCCTTTTATTTCTTGATCATTTTTCCATAGAATCGAGCGTATGTTAATTACCGAATTGTTTGGGGGATTGATACATTCGCATTGCGGCATTATAATAGTCTGCATACATTATGTTGACATGGGGATAGAGTTCTCTTATTCTCTGCAATTCCTGTAGGAGAAGATGATTATGGTACTCGGCGAATTCATTCAATGAAATGAGACAACCATGGCGATCGTAGTCTTTGGCTGTGCTTGATTTCTCATATCGTGTCAAACAAACAGGCAAGCAACCAATCGGCAAATTCCCCGGGACAAGCATTGTCACAACTCCAAGCTCGATCAATTCCTGCAGTATGTTAGTTAATGTAAGAAAGTAGAAGTGCAAGCCAATCTTTTTTATTTAGGTAAGGATGGATTATTACAATGAAATTTTTTTTACATACTTGAATTGTGGATCCGATGTAGCTAACAACCATAGGAACCAAAATTTGTAGTTCATCAAGAGTCCTCCCTTGAAGGAGGAGATGGTTGTAATCATTCCCTCCGATCTCTCCCATTACAACCAAAGATCTTTCCAAATATCTTCGACTATCTGTATGTAATCACATAACTTTTAAGAATTTGCTGAGAGAATAAATTCGTAAATGAAGTAATCTATGAAAGAATAATTATGGCAAAACTTCGACCTGGAAGTCCGGCCAAAAAGGTTCGGAACCATTTCAATTGAGTTCCAAGAGAGGCGTTGGTTAACGGATTCTGACATCCAATCTTCTCGTAGAACTCATACGAAAGCGCCGATGCACCGGAGACTGCAAAATTCACTCCGGTGCTGAAGCTCCGGCGACGTTGCGCCGCGTCGGCGTTAGCTTCGGGAACGTAAGGTTTGAGCAGAGGCAGCCCCATGCTCTGTGCTATAAAATTGAAAACAGGGATTGGAGCCGTCTCTGTAGTGTACATTCAAATTTGATTTCCATGAATCACTGCGTACCGATGAAATCTATGACGAGGCGGCCGTCGGAGTATCTTCCGGTAGGGCGGTGGAAGAACGTCCGGCCATAGGGTGGATTAACAGCGACGCAGGGACTGCGTTGTAGGCTGGGGACGAGAATATTGCCGGTATCTGCTAGCGAATCGCCGAAGCTAACAATGGAATTGTAGCATCTAAAGATCGAATCTGCTGTTGTTGGTGATGGCGATGGTGTAAAGACTAAAATGAAGAAGACAACAGCAGCAGATCCAACTGCAAGCGCCATTTTTGGACCTGAGGGGAAACTGATCAAACCAAGTTTTAAAGTATCATCACCTTGCGTTAGTTTGGACGTTTTAACTATTCTTTAATTATCTCCTCCTCAAAATAACAAAATTAAATATATTACTTCTCCGTTCCAAGTTAATTGACACCGTATTTATTTAAATACAAATAAAAATTAAAAAAATTTGGAATGATCTAAATAATTGTATAATTTATATGTTATTTAATTTATAATTAATTCGATTTGATTGTAGGACCCTCAATTATAGATATTTTGACACGTTTTTAGTTACATTATCAAAATTGCTCTTTTAACACTTTAATTATTAGTCAAATGAGACACGTCACTTATATAATAATATACATTCATTCATATTTTTTCATATTTTATTTATTTATTTTAGTTTATGGTTAAAAGTAGTTGGAATAATTTTTTGTAATTCTACTTATTAACTCCAGTGTGTCTAAACCGTCTGATTAGCTCAACTTCACTTGTCTTGAAATATATGTAGGTAGGTCGGAAATCTCTATCCAAAATTTTGAACATTGTCATGTATTTTAGGATAATTTAGGACGGGGATTTTGAGATAAATTCCTTATCAAATTATCATTGATTAAAGATTGATTTCCTAACACCACAAACAAATATAAAAATTAAATTGACCCAGATAAACTGATAACGATATTATAGTCGCTGCTCGACGAGTGGGTATTGAATAAATTAAACTCTCAACCAAATTTAATAGTTTGTAAACAGTGAAACCTAAAACAAAAAATAATAAATTTGGTATTACAGGTATATTATAAGTATTAACTTTAATCTCTTGAGAATTGACATTTAACATACTTTAATAAATCAACCAAACACCAATAATAATATATTCGGGCTTTTTTTTTTTTTTTTTGATAAAAATAAAGGGTTAGGATATAATTTTTAATAATTCATATTATTTAGTGAAATGTGTCCAAATCGTCAGATCAGTAGCTCAACCTCATTGTGTAAAAATTTATGTAGGTGGGTTGGAAACACAATGCTACATCCAAAAATATTGGGCATTAATTTATTTTTTAATTTTTTTATTCAAACATTTAGGGGATTTATTTATTTATTTATCTTCTGTTAGCATTTATAATAAGCTACCCTTGACAGTATAAAAAAGGATGGGAATTTGCATGTATCGATCAGTCCATTATCAAATAAATGGCTTCTTTCAACAACTCGAGAAAAATATCTTTGTAAAATGGACCATGAAGCATTTGATGTACGATTGTGAACCAAGAAAAAATAAATTTCAATGTTGTCAGATAAATAAATAAATAAATTTATTAATTAAATTTGCAGAAGATTGCAACTTGCAATTAAATTCCAGCAACAGAATTCGGAAGATATTTATGGTGCATTTTGATGTGATTCAAGAACGAATAAGACACTGCATAAAAGTATCACAATTGTGATTGACAAAACGACAGAGTTTTTTTTTTTTTTTTTTTTTTGGGGGGGAAAAAGCAAACTCCAAATGTATGAATAATTAATTAAGCAAATTATATTAATTGACATATAGGTTGGTGCATGGAGGGGTTGTTGAAGCAATAGGGACAACCATTTTAGGAATCATAATATAATATAGTCATTGTCTGTAATAGATTTCTCGTACAGTTTCATAAAAATAGGCAACCAACCAATTTTTTGAAAATTCCCGAGGACAAGCATAGGTAATAAACAATTCCAAGCTTCATATGCTCTTGCAATTTGCTAATATCAGAAAATTTCTGTTAGTTTTATTAGGCACAATTTTATTCAACATTTTTGGTGCATCTAGTTGTCATATGGTTAAAATATCAGGTTTCGTAAAAATTGGCATGATGGTGTAGGGATTGGACTTGTGACCGTGAGATCATGGTTCAAACTTCCGATGCAGGTTTACCTAGTGCGTACTTTATAATGATGCAACTGAAGCCATATGTTTGTTTGGCCATTTGAATTAAATTTAGAAAATTAGGTTTTAAATTAATAGAATATACAATTATATAAATATATTTATAAAGAGACAAGATTCTCCATCAATTAACCTTTTAAATGTAGAGACAAGATATCCCTTAAACAATGATATAAATATGTGGAGGTTAACTTGTGGTCGTAAACAAATTTATTTACGCAGTATTTTAGTACACTTATCATATAATTGTGTACAGTATGATCAAATTATTGGAAATAAAAATACATATTTTTTTTAATAGACGATTAAAAATATATATATCTTTTGAGTGCGCAAAAAAAAGTATATTTTTATATTTATACTTATTTAATTAATAATTAAAACCAAATCAAATATTGTACTATCAAATAAAATTACATTTTTTTTTTTATTTTATTCATAAAATTCCACCACCATCATAAATATTAATTAATAGTATAAAAAGGTTTATATTCTTCTTTTTATTCATTTATTTTCAAATCTTTGGATATTTTAAATAAAATGCTGGACCCATATTTGAGGATACTTCTCTCTTTTATAAAAGGATAAATTATATAACATCCCTTGTATTTTAGTAAAAATATATAAAATATTTTTTATTTTGTTTATCGTGTGAAAATTACTTTTGTTAACATAAAGTTTGCACGGAATATCCTACTTATCCAAAATTGATGTTTGGTGCTAAATAAAAACCTAAATTACACAAGTTTTATACAAATAAAAAACGTAAAATATTTCAAATAATTTTTTTGAATAAAACAAATAAATAAATAATTGATCAATCATTTATTTTTATAGCTTTTTGTAAAAATCAGATAACAATTTTTCTACCAAAAACTATAAAATGGAGAATAAATCAATAATTTATTTATTTATTTTATTTTAAAAAATTATTTAAAATATTTTTTATTTTTTATTTGTATAAAATATGCTTAATTTAGATCTTTATTTAAAATCAAACATTAGGGTTGGACAAGAAGAGTATTTCGTGCAAATTTTAGAATAACATAAAAGATAAAAGATTTCACGTAATAAATAAAACATTCCGTGCATTTTTACTAAAATACAAGAAAGTGTTATATAATTTACTGATTTTTTTTATTGATTTATTTAAGATTTTTTTATCATTATGGATATGTTTTTCTAAGTTTATTTATTTATTTTTGTTTAAATAATAGTTTAAAAATTCTATATTTTCTAAGATAAAATGATAAATTTGTATAAAAATCGACTTTCATAGTAAAAGAAAATAAAATAAAATTGAAACAAAAGCTCCACAAAAGATATAGTTTTTTTGTCGAATGACTAGCTATGTGGTGAGTGAGCCTGTATCTAATATGTATTAGTAATTAAGTTTTTATGTCATAATAATAATAATAATAATAATAATAATAATAATTTTTAATATAGATTAAATTAAATATTTAATAAAATACTATATTTAAATTTAATATATAATTCAAATAATCGTACAAATAATCAATGTTTAATTCAATTATATCGTTAAGTTAATTTTAATTTTTGACATTTCAAAACAATATGTAATCACCACCAGTAAAGAGGATAGTTTAATAAAATTAGTCAAACGCACAAATTAGTTATAAGTTATTTTAATAAAGCATTTCAAGATAATTAATTTTTTAGTTTTAAATAGATAATGGTGCGGACACTATGTTTTGTCATCACTATGCTCATTACACTCAATGTCTTATATATATATATATATAAAGTAAAATTATTTAATATATATTAAATTAAATTATTATATATAAGATAATATATTTTATTTCAAGTAAATGTATAGACTATCTTAAATAATTACTTAGAATTATAATTATAATAATATTAATTGGGTGGGTGATTTCTTAAGATTACTTTTAAATTTTAATTAAACTATTAAATATATATTAAAGGTAGTTAAGATAAACAAATAAACATTAGAGGAGGGTACATACTTGTAATAACTACTCCATCCGTCCCATGTAATATAGGTGTATTAATATAGACACAAGAATTTAGGTAAAGTATAATTAGTAAGTAATTAAGAAATATATTAGTAAAAATAATTATATATTAAGATTAAGATAAATAAATAATTTAATTAAAATTTAAAAAATTATAAAATTTAAAATGCGATTAAAGTGCATAATTATATTTCCAAAAAAATAAAAATGACAAGTTATATGGGACGAACGAAAATAGAAAATATGGACAAATTATGTGAGATAAAAGAGTAATAAATAAACGAAATTTAAATAAATATATGGATAAAAGTTAACGTCATTGTTGTTGAGCCTCAGACCACATATTTTTTATTTGATATAATGTTCATTATTCCTAACTGGCCTAAGAGCCGCCATTGTCAAACCTTCTTTCTCTACAATTGACAAATGACCTAAAGAAAAATAAGTAATTTTTTAATATTAATTATTATATTAAAATAAAATATAAAATTTAAAAATAATTATAAAAATATTTTTATTAATATTTTATAATAAAAATAAAAAATATTTGTACCAAAGATTATGAAATATAAAAAAAAAAAATTAATATTAAATACTATATATGTGACCTTAAAGGCCAATCGAAATAGTAAAATTTATTTGGCTTGAGTTTGTGTAATAACAATTTGACATGGTATTTTTATTAAAAACAAATAATTGTTTTATTGGTTAATAAAAATACAAGATGATATTGATAATTTTGAAAAATAAATATTTTTATAAAAGTTAACAGTATTTTAATATTTATAAATTTATTAATTTATTAATTTTACTATGAAATAGATACTTTGAATAATATATATAAAATAATAATAAAATTGAAACCGTCAATTGAGACAAAAAAATTATATTTATTTAGTATTATTTTTTTAGACTCGTATATGAATAAGAAATACTAATGGTGTGTTTGTTTGAGGGTTTGGATTTTGAGTTGGGATTTGAATAGTAAAAATTTTGAATTTGAATAGTTGTATGATGTGATATAAATAGACGTTGATGTGATGTTTTGAATGTAAAATTGATTTTTAGTATAATATGGGGAATTGGATGAATAATATAAATCCAATCCAATGCCCCAAACAAACACACCCTAAGTAAACACATATTTTAAAATTTGATTAAATAAAAAAAAAATTGACAAAAAAAAAAGTAACATAGTAATTTATAAATTTCAACGAAGATGAACAGCATTTGTGCAAAGAAAATTAGAAAAAAATAAAAAATAAATAAGAGTTCATCCCCCAATCCAATTATCAATATAAATATAACAATTTAAGTCACAATTTAAGGGTGCGTTTATTTGGGGATTGGATTTTAAATACATTGTTCATTTTTATTTCCCCATTCTAAAATATCAAATTAAATATTTATTTTTTATTTTTTATATTATAATAAAAATCAATTTTACATTCAAAATATCACATCAACGCCTATTTATATCACATCACACAACTATTCAAATTCAATTTTTTTACTATTTAAATCTCAACTCAAAATCCAAACACCCAAACAAACACACCCTTAGGTCATTTTAAAATAACCGTCTCACCGAAAAGGTGGGATCCCGACACGCCCCCAAGTGCAAGTGAGATCTGCGAAACTTGAACATGCATATGCAGCAGACGGACGGGACTCGAAACTTGCACATGTATATGCCTAGGCTCTGATACCATGTCGAATGCAGAATAATTATCTCATCTAACACTTCCGCAAATATTCAAAGATGGATTATTGAATTATTTGGTAATGTTGTTTCTATACTAGTCGGGCTAATTTGACACTTGATTCAATTTATTTTAACTTCATTTCAAGTTAGAAACAACTTATTTTGTAAACAAAAAAAATATATATTACCTCCATTATTGAAATATATTCTCAAAGGAAATAAAAATAAATTTGAACGAAAAATGAAATATATTTAAGCTCAAACTTGAAAATTTTCAAACTAAAGATACTAGTATTTTCGAAATGTGACACCCCTACCAAATACATGTTTGTTTGGGATTCGGAAAATTTTTTGTAAATAATATAAATAAAATTGGGAAAAGAACTCTAGGGTCAATGGTGACTAAAGTGTGTAAATTAATGAAAACACGTGGTCACGACTTACTAGAGCTATTAAACGAACCAGTCGTTCGTGAACTCGGCTCGATCCGGCTCAATTAAAATTTGTTTGTGAACGTTAATGAGACAAGTCGAACAATATAAACATGTTCGTTTGATAACGAACGAGTCTAAGTTTTGTTCGCGAATGTTCGTTAAAATAATATAGTTATTATAAATATTATATATATAATTATAATTTATAAATAAATAAAATATCAATTAAAAATAAATAAATACAATAATTTTAAATTTTTCTTAACGAGCTCAAATAAATCTGAACGAGTTTAATCGAGACAAACACGAACACGAACTCAAACAATAAATATTCTTAACAAGCTGAATTCGAATGCTTAATGTACGAACACGAGTCTTGTACGAACATTAACGAACGAACACAAATATTTTGTTCGATTCGACTCGTTTAAAATTAAAAAGCGACATGACTAATGTCAATATTCCATTGCACAATTCAAAATCAAATAATTCAAATTCTGCCTCTGCCGTGTCGTAATAAATTAAAGCACTCTTTATATTGTGTTACTTGTTGCCAAGTGCAACTAATTGCCATGTTTCATTACCACCGCAAACAACAATAATGATAATGAGAATGAATCAATGTTTGGCAATAAAACAATGCCAAAAGCAAATTAACTAATGATCACCCCAAACATATATATATATATATATAACAGATAGATACAAACATGTATATGTACGAACAAGTTTGCACCAAAGCATTAGTACTCGTAACGGCCCCCAGGGGTTGTCGATTTAGGACAAATGGTTGAGAAACTACGAGGATAAGTGTAGGGACCTTCAAGAATGCCTTGGGCTATCACTCTGTTCCCGGCCTCCGTAAAGTGGACGCCGTCCCAGCTCGCATACGAACCAGGATTGTCGCAGCACTGCACGGTTTCTACGCCGCATCCTGCCGTGACATTGTAATTATATGGCCCCCCTCCCCCGCAACATGCTCTCAGAATTCGGCTGCCGAATCCTGCACCATAACAAACAACATACATGAGTTGTCACCCGACAAGTTGGAGTTAAGGAATTGGTTATATATGTAAATATTATGTATACCGCATTGGTTTGGGGAGAGATACATGCGCATTGCGGCGCTGTAATAATCGGCGTAGATTATGTTAACTTGAGGATGAAGCTTCCTGATCCTCTCCAGTTCCTTGAAGAGAAGCTTGTTGTGGTAGCTGGAGAAGGCATTTAGCCAATTGAGACACCCGGTCCTCGGATCATACTTGCCGGGGCTCGACTTGTAGAGTGTTAAGTATATAGGCAAACAACCCAGTGGAAGATTCCCGGGGACAAGCAGAGTAACAGCTCCAAGCCTGATCAGCTCCTGCAGAAGTAGTATTATATTTGTTGCTACTAATTAATACATCTCATCTTTTATCAGAGGAATATCTCTTATAACATTACACATACCTGAATTGTAGATCCGATGTAGGTAACAACTCGAGGGACTAATGGTTGAAGCTGATAGAGAGTTGTCCCTTGCTGGAGGGGGTAATTGTAATCGTTGCCTCCAATCTCTCCCACCACAACCAGAGACCTTTCCAGATACTCTCTGCTGTCTGTATTTATGTATGAGAATCTAAAGCTATCATATCATATCATCTACTTTTAATTTATTAACAAAGACAGTAACCTGGAAATCCGGCCAAGAAGGTTCGGAACCAGTCCAGCTGATTTCCCAGGGAGGAGTTGGTGATCGGATTGTGATATCCAATCGTCTCGTAAAACTCACACTCAAGCGCCGTAGCTCCGGCCACCGCGAAATTCACTCCTGTTTCGAAACCCCGGCGATCCTCCTCCTTGTCATTTCCTCGCCGGGGAAAGTATGGCTTCAATAGAGGCAGCCCCAATCTCTGCGCTGCAAGAATGAAAGTAAACATAGTTAGAAATAACTGATTCGGAGTGTATTAGATTTGGGGAAGTAATTCCGGCGTACGGACCGATGAAATCAATAACGAGGCGGCCGTCGGAGTATCTTCCGGTGGGGTGTTTGAAGAAGGTCCGGCCGAAGGGCGGGCTAGCCGACGGGGGCACGGTGTTGTGCACGCTCGGGAAAAGAATATTCCCTGTGTCGGCCAGGGAATCGCCGAAGCTAACGATTGAATCGTAGCATCCCACCATCGGATCTGCTGATACTGATACTGATACTAATAGTGATGCTGCAAGTAAAGTAATTACAGAGATGGTAGCATCACCTGCATCAGCCATTTCTCCGACAAGGCGAATCTTCTCCGGGGAGCGTGCAATGATTTCGCGAAAATAAATGCGCAACTAACTAAAAACTGTAACAAATAAATTTGTATGTGTGTTATTTAAAGAACATCCACAATTACGTCGGTGCGTTTCTCCAACGGTGTTGCACAGTAGAAGTAGGTGGTTTTTCGGCATCGATACGTCTATGTGCATGCGCTTCAAGTGCTTATATCATGTCACGTGGAGCTATAAGGTCAATGGGTATTTTCTCTTAATTTTTTTATATTTTTTTTGTAAATTTTAGCAACCATTAGGTTGGAGATTCTGATGACCAGTCATACCCTATAGGGTGAAAAACATATGGTTAGTATTTGTTTTAAGATATACTCTATCTAATAATTATTAAGTAATTTAAAAATTGTATTACTAAAAGTAATTATAAATTAAAATTAAAACGACTAAATAATTTAATTAAAATAAAAAAAATATAAAATAGCAAATTATATAGAATAAATAAAAATAAAAGAAATTAACAAATTAAATAAGACTGAAGAAGTAATATATATTGTATTATAGAATATATATAAAAATATATTGACCTCTCCTACAATCGCAATGCTATTAAATCAAATTAACTTTTACAGTAAAATATAATATTGAAAACGCTTTAATTTTACTTTTTAACACAAGACGTCAGCCTTTCTCGTTCCTTGTTCCGGAGTCTTCTGCCTTCCAGAGGTTGTACCGGAAGTCAAGAGGCTATTACGGAAGAAACGTGATATTGAATTATTTGGTTTTTATTATACAATTAAATATTTGAATTATATACATTTTGTCATTTTTAATTTAATGAATAGGAATTTTTAAAGTTATTTATAAGAATTGTATTGGTCATACTTTTGCCGTTTGATAGTACTTTTAAAATTTCCTCAATTAAGCAAAATTATTGTTCTTGAAGCTATATAATCGAATTGTGAATGAAATTACTCTTAAGTTTATTTTAGCATATTGGCAAATATCTATTTTTTTTTTTTTTTTTTTCATTCTTGGAATACGTCATTTTATTTTTAGCAAACAGAAGTTGCAGGGAGTCTGCAACTGCAACCGTGTTGCAGACTGCTGGTGTGTGGGGTTGACCATATTCAATTTGCCTCAGTCCATTAAATGTTTGCAAAAGACAAAATGAGTATTTGATGAAATTTCAAATCACATCAACCCTATAGAACTCATCATTTTCGATGCTAAGGAAAATTAATATGAGATTTTTCATTTCAAGAATGAATGTGATATACTCAACCGGATATGGTGAAATGTTGGTGCCTTGGTGGTGAGTGAGTTTTGAGAATATGCTTTAGAGAGAGAAAATTTGTGTGAAGCTCTCACCCTCTATATATATCGATTCTCTTCAGTTTGAATGAATGACGGGAGATAAAGAAGTTCCAACCGCAGAAGATCATCAGGCTCTGAATTGCATTGCTATATGGTCATTGTTAGTACGTGTGTAACATCCCCAATTGGATCATACTGGAGATGCTACCACCACACTGCACGATGAGGTCATCATCTCCTACTTCGGGCCCCACAACACAGTTTTAAAGGCTAAGATTAACTATAAAAACGCATTGTTATATAACATAATATGATTTATGAATATTTATAAAATGCACTTCTAAACAAGAGATTTTTCCAGTTAAAAATTTACATATAATACAATAGACGTAAGTTCACTCACTCACTCAGCTCGTCTTTTTAAATCTCGAGACATCTCCTGTCCCGGAGGTGCCATGCATACTTGAACTTAACATTTTTCTTAAAAGCAGTCTAGAATTAAATTTATTTTAAGGACTAACGTAAAATATGTCATGTCATACATTTCTAAAATAAAGGCTAATCACTCTCATTCACAAAATACATGTTATGCCAATAGTGAAATGATGCAACAAAGATATCAAACTCGAAAACCATGCACATGCACACATATATATATATACATCCGTCGAAGTGAGCAGTCAGAATAACCTCGGCCTCATAATAACAAGCTCACTAAAACATTATCAATAAATAGCCGAAAAATTATCGGCTCAAGGAACGACCTGATAAACCCATAATAATATAACGGTCATTCGGTCACTTTCATATATCCACCATACGACTCTCACAATCAATACATAGATAGCCGAACGTTATTGCCATTAACCACAAGACGACCCATAATATGTGATAGTGAAGATAGGACCCTCATATCTAGCCCTACCAGAATATGTGCAACTTGGAATCACCCAAGGAAAACCCGGAAACTCTACTCCTCCTCGCGCGCCTTAACGGGATCACGTTTGGAGTTTGACATATGATCCTAAACTACCGGTTGACGTCACCAATGATCAGTCCAATGAATGGAACAACACCTAACACGAATGATTAGACCAAATACGTCTAAACTATAATGTGTCTAATCTTTGAATAACCGTGCGACTGAGTCACTCAGTTGTCCGACTATTATCGTCCACTATCGCTAAAGTGTTACAGTACATCGGGGTCGAATACTCTAATCCTAAATGATGTCCTCGCCTAGCACTACCGTACACGGCGACTAAACGATATATCCATAAAACATATCAAATAAACCGTGAAATATATGTGCAACATGTCAAATAAGTAAATTTACTGAAAAGAGCCAGTGAGACAGCTTATCTATCCTTATTTACATAAATTCACCAACGCAATCAAATATGTATATCAAATATTATAAAATGTGAAATATCACACATACATATACATATATATAGATATATACATGTACCGACAAAATGATCTATATAATATCATATTAACATATTAATCGTAATCGCATGCAACATGCATACCTAATTTTTTAAAATTTAATTTAATTCCCTACTGCTTACATCGATACTTCCTGACTTTGGCAATATTATCCAAATCTCCTCCAACGTACACTTGCCTCATTATTTACTCAGATTAGATGACCTATATGTTTATTCATAGGAACTACTTGCATATTCAAAAATTAATTTATATAATTAGCTCGTCGGGCTGCAAACTTTTATATTTAGTATAATATGATATTTTAGCTGTAAAATCTTTATACTTTATAATATTTATATGACCTGATTATTAAATTAAAAATACTTAAATATATGAATAAATAGGCACGTACAATATACTGTCATTTTCAATTCGAATCGGATCAATACAAAATTCCCAGAATACGATCCCAGGTTTACGAAGAATATTAGCTAAATAAATTCGTTGATTAAATAGCCAAAGAGTCAATTATAAATTTCCAAAGTATTTTCTAATTTAATACTCCAATATTCAAATTTATATTAAAATTTATAATTAAACTTTAAGTATAACAATGGATAGAATACTAAAATCGAAATTGGAATCAGACAAGCTCAATTTTTTTTTATTACTACCTCCGTCCCACATACCGTGTTTGCTACACTGTAGACACGGTATTTTAGGAGGAGTGTAATTAGTAAATAATTAAGAATATATTAGTGAAAATAATTATCCGATAATATAAATAATTATAAAGTAAGATTAAGATAACTAATTAGTTTAATTAAAATAAAAAAAAAATTAAAAAGTTTAAAATGAGATTAAAGTGTGTAATCATTTTCCGAAAAAAGAAAGTAACATGGTATGTGGGACAGATAGAAACGGCAACGTGGACATGATATATGAGATGGAGAGAGTATTATTTCTTTTTTCCTTTTCTCCTCATTTTTCTTCTCTTCAGTTGGAGTCTGCCGCTGCCTTCCTTGACAAGGTTCTTTTTTTAGGGTAAACTGTTTTTTCAGTCCCGTAACTAGACCCTTTTATCATTTTAGTCTCGTAAGTGAAGCTTATCGCAAACTAGTCCCATAAGTGAAAATTTTTGCTGTTTTTGTCCTTCGGCGCCGGAGACGCCCGCGTGGCTCACCGGAGGTGACGTATCCGCCAGGTGTCCCGCCAGGTCAGCAATACCTGGTGGACACGTGGATTTATTATTTTTTTTAATTTTTTTTTAATTGAACCAAATAAAAAAAATAAAAAATATATAAATAAAATTAAAAATAAGTTTTTAAAAAAATTTAAAAAATAAAAAATAAATAAAAAAAAATCCACGTGTCCGCCAGGTCAGCGACACCTGGCGGATACGTCACCTCCGGCGAGTCACGCAGGCATCTCCGGCACCGGAGGACTAAAACAACGAAAATTTTTCACTTATGGGATTAGTTAGGGCGTCTAGTTACGGGACTAAAAACAATTAACTCTTTCTTTTTATTGTTATATATATATATACATATATTATTATTATTATTGTAACGTTATTATTATATTATCCTTATCATCCTTATCATCATTTTTATTATATTATTATATATAATATTATATATATATATTATATTTTATATATACAAAATAAAATTCTTTTAATTCACAATTAATATACAAAATAAAAATATAATTTATTTTAAAATATTAATTTTTTAATCCTAAAATATTTATTTGATATAATAATATTATTTTATACATTTTAAAAATCGAATATTTCAACGTGTTTGTAAACAACTTGAACATGTGGAGTATTTTCTAAAGCAAACAATGATATGAGTTTGGGATTGTTTATGTTTTGTAACCAGGGTTAATTACTAAAATTTCTCATCGATTGGAATGCCCTGATGTAGATTAGTTTATATTCTAATCGGGTTACCAAATATCTTGTCTTTTATATTAATTTTTAGTTTTGCGTTTATTCCGTTAACAATAAGTTTTTTTAACTGTGAATTAACCACGAGTTCGGGAGCTGACCCTATTTAAACTGTTCGAAAGTATATTGTTTAATCCATTACTTCTCCACTTAATTCAAAAAATAAATAATTAAATGAATAGTTGCGTCAATTGATGTTTAATTATTCAATTTAATTTTTAATAATAATTAATATTTTAAGACTAGTTGAATACATTTTTTAATTATTAAGAGACTTTCGGAACTACAGTAACATTAATATTCAATTTTAAATATACGATCTCCGATGATATTCTTTAAAATTCTTATGTTTACCGGTGTTGATTAATATGTCTGTATAATAATAACATATAGGTGCCTTTGGAAATTTAACTGATAGCTTTTAGATATTAATTGATTTAATTAGCTAGTTTGACTAGCTGATTTAATTAGCGGTTTGTAATAAAGTGTTTGGTAAAACCC